AGAGAGAGAGAGAGAGAGACAGACAGACAGACAGAGACAGGGACAGAGAGAGAGACAGAGAGAGAAAGAGAGAGAGAAAGAGAGACAAACAGACAGACAGACAGACAGACAGCAGTTTGTTTGTTTTTTGCAAGACTACATTGCTCTTCAAATTGCCGCAGTCATACATTTTTGCAGATGAATTAATGTTAACAAAAGCAATTGCATGTCCAAAGATAATAATAATTCTTCTGCATTTGTACTTACACTATAGTCTTTGACGATTTCAAATACTTGAATTTCTTATATAACCAAGGCTGTACTTTCTATATCAGCAAATAAAAGATAGCTGCAGGGTAAAAGTTATAATGTTGGCGATCATAATAATTTTTTTAAGCTACTGAAAAGTGATTGATTGGTATTAATGTAGAGGTTATAATGTTAGCTTTAATAGTTCTCGGAACTTTAGCTTTTCATTCGATTTCGAAAACGTTTTGTCATCAGATTGATTCGAACCCAAGATATTATGTTACCTAGCATCTGCCAACGGCCAACAGTTGTAAAATGGTTATTCGTAATGGCTATTTTGTTACCGGCTGTTCAGAACGCAGAAAATCACATTATTTCAATTTTGCGCACGTAATCTTCATCGAAACAGCACCTGAATGAGATGGTTCAATAACACAGTGGCACTTTTGTGACAAGACAGGTTTTGTCACATTTCGTGATTACAATTTTAAAAAACGTGGTTTTCCCGTAATCAGACCCAACAATCCGGATAATAATATTGTTATCTGAGCGTGAAGTTTATCGGTTCCTGGCATGTCTTTATGAAGGCGCTTAGCAGATTGAACAGAGTGTTTGATTCCAATCCGAAATGAACAATCAAGAGGAAAGTCATCTCGAGAAAAATGATGAACTTTCTGTTATGTTCGAAGATCGCCATGAAATGTCTGATTCCTATAGGAAACCAACTGTCAGTTCTTTGCAACCTATCTTAGGATTAACAGGATGGATAGTAATTTAGTAAGATAATAAGAGCGTTATTTGTTCTGAATTACCCAATTGCTCAATTGCACGCGCCCGGTACGAAAACGAAAGTCAACAAATTTGGTATGGAAGACGTGCCTTTTTGGGAGAATGGAATTCGAAACACAATGTCCTATGCATGAGGAAAAATAAAGAAGAGAAGGATTAAGAAGAAAAAGAATGGTAAGAAGGAAGAAAAGCAGGAGGGAAAAAACACGAAAAGGGGGGAAAGAGAGAAGAAGACGAGAAGTAAAGGAAAGGGGGCAGCGAGAGATTTTTTTAAAGACATGGTAAAAGGGGCTCTGTTCTCGTAAAAAAAAGAGGCTGTTGAAAATGGCCTCAATATCCCTGCTTTTACTAGATTTACCGATTACGCATCCAAAAGAATTGTAAAAGAAGCGATCGTCAATATGTCGATTTTTTTTATAAGGTAAAAGTCGATATTGATTGGACCAGTCATGGAAACCCGAACGTTAATCCAGCTCTCTGGGCTATCATTGTGCATGGGAAGTTGACCCTCGGCGATAAAGTGGCGGGGGCGAACTTGTCTGGCTTGTCTCATAGGAAGTAAAACAGTCGCGATGTCTTCAGACAAGGTCCCCATATATACGCCCGAAAATCCAATAGGCAGTGAGCAGCCTTTCTATCTTGATGAAAATC